TGATGTTGCTGTTTTACACATAATGAGATCGAGGCTCAGAGACTTCACTGACGCAGCAGAAACTGAATTGCTAGTCACTAGGAGCAACAGGACTTAACTTCAAGTTTTCTGACTCACACTTACAATCTTCACAGGCTTCCTATTTTCTCAGCGTGGAATTACAATTCTTTATCGTATTTTCCAAGGCTCTGCACGATCTGGCTTCTGCTTGCCTTTCCAAACTCATCTTATAATACCAGCTCCTATTCCAGGAATACCGACTGCCTTTCTCTCCCTCAAACATGTGACATCATTTTCCTGTTTCCAGGTTTAACCGCTGCCCAGAGAGCCTGCCCCTCTGTCTGTGACACGTGGGTGAGTCTCACTGGCTGACAGCTCAGATGTCACTACTCAGAGAGGCCTTTCCTGACCATCCCCGCTTGAGTGTACTCTCCCAGTGACTGTCTGTCTCCTCGCCCTCTTGCTTTCCTTCATGGCACTCACTCATTCTGTGCTTTTGCTCACTGACTGGTGGGCATGTTCTGTGCTTGCCGCCTCCTACTAGCATGTCACCTCTACGGAGACAAGGCACCTGTCTTTCTTGTTCAGGCAGTCTTCCCAGCACGTGTTCTGGAACTGGTAAACAATGTTAATGAACTGGTGCCAAGCGTTACTGCCAAGGGAGGAGAAAAGAACAGAGAACGCTAATGTGAGGCAGATGTCCTTCACCATCCCTGCGCCACGGCTTCATCGGGCTTGCCAATCCACTGCAGTTTAGTTTCTCGTCATTCAGAGCTTATAAGCATGAGTTTGGGTGCTTCTTGGGGGTGGGGCTCATTTACAATAAAGACGATCATAAAGACGAAACTAGGCAGGTATGACAGCTGTATGTCGGGTTCCATGTGCAGCCAAACTAATTTCCTAAGACTTAGGTTTCTTGGAATGGGGAAGGAGAAGAGGCAGAAGGGAAAAAGATGACATGGAAGTTAGGGATGTGTAAGTTTAAGGATGTTGGTGTTGGATTTCTTGGTAATTTACAAACCAGTTTATTAACTACAATAAAAGTGAATTGAACCCCAGGCATTTCTTCCGCATTCTAGGTGACCATAATTTGCTCAACTGAGTGGAAGTTATGACTGCATGTCGCAGACAGCTACTGGTTATGGTGCAGTAAGGAACAAGCTCTCTGGGAATAAGGAAAACGCAGCTATTGACAAGACGCAGGAGCCCACTGCTGCCTGGTTTCAGGGCCTGGTTGATATCTGTTATCTGTTTTCGTTTTTTAAATTAAATTTTAGTACTGTAGCTACTATGTTGGAAAACTGCAAAGTCAATGGGTCAATGGAGATAAAGAAAACGGATCTTTTGAGACTTAAAGTTTAATTCTGTCATTTCTGATTAAGCTCCTTCTTCATTATTTTGACTTCACAACAAATATAGTTCATAGTTCTTAAAATCAACTTTACTATAAAAATTACTCTAGAAAAATAACTTTCAATTGAGAATCTAAAACTCTATAGTCCCCTCCCCCACATAATATCAATACATTTTTTCCCAGTCAAAACAACTGTTTTTATGATATAATTTTCTCTAACTTTTTAATAAAGGAATTAAGCTCTTATTTTGTAGCATAGCAGGGTATATCTTTGGTCAGTTTTTGTTGAGAATACTATGAGAGTGACATAACTTTTCTGGCACCTTTTATCAAACTTTCTAGACTCTCTTATAAAATAATTTCATTACTGTATCTCTGCATCTCTCTGTATAATCTATTTATATACATACTAATATATATTTGTATATATACGTACACCCAAACAAACTTTAGGTTAATCCCCTGGGCTTTCATCATTTGAGATTTTAAGATGCAAAAATCTGGCTTGCCCTATTGTTACAATCACTAGCCCTTATGTTTTTTTTTTCTTTTTGCCTATTGTAATGTTTATTAACTGAAAACTTTCCTTTCTTAAAATTATTGCACTTGAAATAACACTATCACTAGATTTTTTATTAGTTATCTATTTTATACATATTAGTGTATACATGTCAATCCCAATCTCCCAATTCATCCCACCCCCTGATCCCCCCTACTTTCCCCCCTTGGTGTCCATATGCTTGTTCTCTATATATGCATCTCTATTCCTGCCTTGCAAACTGGTTCATCTGTACTATTTTTCTAGATTCCACATATATGGAATATTTGATTTTCTCTTTCTGACTTAACTTTACTCTGTATGACAGTCTCTAAGTCCATCCACGTCTCTACAAATAACCCAATTTCGTTCCTTTTTATGGCTGAGTAATATTCCATTGTATATATGTACCACATCTTCTTTATCCATTTAGGTTGCTTCCATGACATGGCTATTGTAAATAGTCACTAGCCCTTATGTTAACTTGTCCTATTATTTCCTTCAGTTTCTAATAGCTATTCCTTTGGGAGTAATACAAGTGCACCATCTTGGTAAAGTACTTTCCTGTTCACTAACGTCAAGAACTGCTTCTTGAAAATGATCACAGTTTGTTTCTATCCTTTGAGAACTGCTAAATAAAATGTATAGCAGACACATTCACTCAGCACTGTATGACAAGTGTTAGAGATTCTACACCAATGGACAGGAACAGGCGTGGGCACCACCCTCAGTTACGTGAAAAAGGGTCAGGGAAGTCGTTCCTATAAAAGAAAGGTCTGAGTCGAAATTTGAAGGATGAAGGTGTGTTAGCTGGATTCTGAGGAGAAGATGAGAGCATTTCAGGCAGAGGGAAGAGTGAGTATAAACTTCTTATTCCAGGAAAGAGTGTAGCCTATTCCAGGAGCCAAGAAGGGCCTTTTTTTTTTTTTTTTTTTTTTTTTTTGCGGTACACGGGCCTCTCACTGTTGTGGCCTCTCCCGTTGCGGTGCACAGGCTCCGGACGCGCAGGTTCAGCAGCCATGGCTCACGGGCCCAGCCGCTCCGCGGCATGTGGGATCTTCCCGGACCGGGGCACGAACCCATGTCCCCTGCATCAGCAGGCGGACTCTCGACCACTGTGCCACCAGGGAAGCCCAAGAAGGGCCATTTTTGAAGAGCGGGATCTGCCTCTAATGTCATCATGAAAGAGACAGATTCCCATAGCCAGACATTATCTCATAGCCACAACTTCTGACACAATTAAACGTTTCTTTCGCTAAATCATTAGTATTCTGACCCTCAAATGTCTTCCATTTATCAACACCTTTGACTTTTCGAGGAAAGTTAAGCACACATAGACTCTCAGAGAATATAGGATTAAAAATGTTTGCATTAATGTATTTGATAAAATGATCAGAGGAAGATTAAATTACAACATGTATGATGTGATATTACAATAAAGCCCCCAAATTATCCCAAGGTGTATATAACACAATTGGTGATGGGCTCCCGTACTTCTTCTACCCCAGCCCCTGCTGCTAAACATGGGTGCAGAGGCTAAGGCTTTCTCTTCTGGGTGGGGTGTGAGGTGAGATAGAGAAATAGTGGATGATCCAGTCTCTGGATTCCAGGAGCCGGCAGAGGGATCCCCATGTCCTCATTTTTTTCTGGCTCAATTTTCCAGATTCTTCAACTGCAAGTTTCCTGAATTCCATGCCACACTGTCCTGGACTCCCAGCCAGCCCCGAGATGGGGGGGTGGGAGTGGGGATGGGGAGGTAGGGGGATAGGGGCAAACTGAAGCAGGACTGTGTGGATCCGTGGCTGGAGCCTTACTGACACATTGGCCAGCTGCAGCCAGGCCATCCCATTAGCCTCACAGCAGCACAACTGTGTCTGTCACACTGAATTTTTAGGACTCTGAGCATGGCGTTATGGAGGTCTTCTTTCACACCCATTTTGCTGTGATATTTAGAACTACACCAGATAAGACAAAGTGAAGCATAAGTGTTGATTTATGTAGGATGCATAACTTGAGGCATTGAGCAGCCCGTGCTTTCCTGATTTTCCCCAAAGCCACCTTTTCCAGTGCCCTACTTCGTCCTTGTGTCTGTGGGCATTTTTGCTCTTGCCCTAGGGGTTCTCAGAGCTTTAGCAGAGGATGCAGGTGTGATGGGGGAGATTTAAAGGTGGCTGCATTCCACTAAGCCTCCCACCAACCTTGCCTATAAAGAGAGGCTGTCGGGGAAGTTACATGAGGAGGTAAATCGTGCAGTGCCACAGGGGCTTCTTGCTTGGGGATGACGCGCAGTACAGAGCCACATTCCTTCTCCAGTCCATGAAGATGAGTTTGTGCTATTGGCTGCAAGGAGGACAGTGGAGGAATGACTTTGGTCCAGCTCTACTTGGGAAGGAGACAATAGGACTGCCATGCTCCATCCACGCCCTCCCACCCTGCAGTGTGTGTGATGTGGAGGGAATCCAGAAGGTCTGAGGCAAGGTGGGTACTAAACGGGGGAGCGGGCAGGCCTAGAAGCACACTTACACCAGCTGCAGCCCATGTGGGGAGCACTCAGGAGACCGCGGGCTCCCTCAAGGCCGTTGCATGATTTGCCCAGTGGTAAGGGTATCATCAGTCATAAGGTACGGGGAGGTATATAAGCTGAGGAGACCTAGAAAACTGAGGGCTCCTTATTGTTCCACCGGACATGGGGCCATTTCATCCCTCAAATTTCTCTTCTTTTGCACTGGAGCTGATGTATCTCCCTTGTGATATTCCCAAAGGCCTTAGTCAAATGGAAGGTACAGAGGGAGAAGCTGAAAGATGGAGCCTCATTCTTGAATTATGAATCTAAATTCACTTGATTAGATTGCATTTAGCACAAGAGATCCAGAACATCTAGACTAAACAGACAGGGGCATTTGAGTTAGTAAATTAAAGCAATTCTAAACATAAAGCTGTATTTTTGTAGTACTAAATTTTAGTACTAGCCTATTTGTGAAATATAATGTCAAATATACAGGGGGAAAGAAGAGAGCGGGCTCTTTCATTATTACACAGATTTCATTTCACTTTCGCAAAAGGAAACTGACTCACTTAAATCTGTGGACAGCATGAGTTGAGCCTCACCTTGCTCACAGTAGACTCCAGTGGTTCCTAGTGGACAGTGACAGGTGTATCCATGAGGCAACGAGACACAAGTTGCTCCTTTGCTGCAGTGGTGTGGAGGGTCATGCTCAGGGTCGCAGGTGGAAACTGTCTCCGTGCAAAAGGCTCCTTTCCATCCACTAGGACAGTTACAGCTGTAGGATAAGAAAGAAGGCAGCATGATTTGAGCACCTGTTGGGTATACACTCATGTATCCTCCTGATGTTAACTTGGCAGTTTTGCCTGAGGCTCCAAGACAGAAAAGATGTTTTATATGAAAGCCAATTGTGATTTAAACTACCAAGATTCACATTGTCAAAGGAAAGAGCTAATGACTTGTTATGGGATTACTGGACTCCATATTAAGGATTTTAAAAGGTTCAGCCCGTGGAAATTGAAAGAAAATTTGATGAGAATCATTTCTTTGGACAAAACAGCGTTATAACTCCCTCCCCTCAACCTACCCCACCACCCAGGGGGAAAGCTGTGGATGGAGTGGCCTCCTAACCTAATCCTAGAAAAAAGAAGTCCAGCTTCTATATGTTCCCTGATACTGGGGGATGCACAAGCCCAGCTCCAGGGGCTGCAGAAGGAGCCTCAAACCCTTCCAGTGGTGAGGCCAATGGTAGTGAACCAGGCGGGGGGCTGTGGCACTCTGAGTTAGGATCAGCTTGGGGACATATAAAAGAGACCTTGCCCAGAGGGTATCCTGGTATCTGAAGGAGCTGTGGCAGTAAGAGGCAGTCAGTTTATGGCTGGAGCAGAATCTGAGGGGTAAAGGGCAGTAACCATTCTGAAGAGAGACTTTGTCTTGGTTTAGAGAATGATATTGGGAGGAGCCTGGTAGGGGAGTCTCTGATGGACTCAGCAAAGGTAGAGTTGACAGATAAAATGCAGGGCACCTACTTAAATGTAAATGTCAGATAAACAATAAGTAATTCTTTAGTATAAGTATGTTCCATTCAATTATTTGAATTTCAGCTAAGCAATATTTGAGATAAACAGAAAAATTACTTGTTTTTTGTCTGGAATTCAGATTTATCTGGGTGCCCTGTACTTTTCTCCCTAAATCTGGCAACAATACCGTTAGGGCACATGAGGGAAATGGTTAGCTTGAAATCCCTGTCTGGCACAGAGGACACTAAACCATCAGGTAAACAGTGTGAGTCAAGGGGGCCATTCGAGGATGGTGTGGGTGCAGAGTCAGAAACCACTGGCCCAGGGAAAGACAGCAGCAGGAGATCACACCTCCCCCTGAGACCTTTCATTCATGTGACGAGCCCTGGCTGGGTTTAGGGTAATAGCCTTGAAGAGTAAAGTGTTATTAGTATTTTGATGTGGACCATTTGAATTAATGATTGAGAGTGTATTTTTAAATTAAAGAGTTTATTAGTCAAGAGAAACAGAAAGTTCAATGGACCTCCCCATGTTTTAATTCAGGACCAAGAAAAGGATGACTCTATAAAATATGGCATGGGTATTTTGATAGGGATTGCATTAAATTTGTAAGTTGCTTTGGGTGGTATGGCCATTTTAACAATATTAATTCTTCTAATCCAAGAGCATGGATATCTTTCCATTTCTTTGTATCATCTTCAATTTCCTTTTTCAGTGTTTTACTGGACATGGGGCTGTTTCACCCCTCAAATTTCTCTTCTTTTGCACTGGAGCTGATGTATCTCCCTTGTGATATTCCCAAAGGTCTTAATCAAGTGGAAGGTACAGAGGGGGAAGCTTAAAGACGGAGCCTCATTCTTGAATTTCAGAGTTTTCAGAGTATGGGTCTTTCACTTCCTTGGTTAAGTTTATTCCTAGGTATTTTATTCATTTTGATGCAATTTTAAATGGGATTGTATTCTTACTTTCTCTTTCTGATAGTTCATTTTTAGTGTATCAAAATAATCATGACATATTTCACAGAACTAAAGCAAATATTCCTAAAATTCATATGGAAAAACAAAAGACTCCAAGTTGCCAAAGCAATCTTGAGAAAAAAGAACAAAGCTGGAGGTATCATCTCCCAGACTTCAGACTATACTACAAAGCTACAGTAATCAAAACAGCATGGTGCTGGCACAAAAACAGACACATAGCTCCATGGAAGAGAATAGAGAGCCCAGAAATAAACCCATGCACCTGTGGTCAATTAATCTATGACAAACAAGGCGAGAATACATAATGGAGAAAAGACAGTCTCTCCAACAAGTGATGCTGGGAAAACTGGACAGGTACATGTAAAAGAATGAAATTAGAACATTTCCTCAGACCATATAAAAAAATAAACTTAAAATGGATCAAAGACCTAAATGTAAGACCTGAAACCATAAAACTCATAGAAGAGAATGTAAGCATAACACTCTTTGACATAAATCATAGCAATCTTTTCTTTGGCTATATCTCCTAAGGTAAAAGAAATTAGAGCAAAAGTAAACAAATGGGACCTAATTAAGCGAAAAGCTTTTGCATAGCAAAGGAAACAATAGACAAAAATGAAAAGACAACCTATAGAATGGGACAAAATATTTGCAAATGTTATTACCAATAAGGGGTTAATACCCAAAATATATAAATAGCTCATACAACTCAATATCAATAAAAACCCAACCCAATCAAAAAATGGCAGAAGACGGGGCTTCCCTTGTGGAGCAGTGGTTGAGAGTCCGCCTGCTGATGCAGGGGACACGGGTTCGTGCCCTGGTCCAGGAGGATCCCACATGCCATGGAGCGGCTGGGCCCGTGAGCCATGGTCACTGAGCCTGCACGTCCAGAGCCTGTGCTCTGCAACGGGAGAGGCCGCAGCAGTGAGAGGCCCGTGTACCGCAAAAAAACAAAAAAAACAAAAACAAAACAAAACAAAGAAATGGCAGAAGACCTAAATAGACATTTTTCTAAAGAAGACATACAAATGGCTAACAGGCACATGAAAATATGCTCAACATCATTAATTATTAGAGAAATACAAATCAAAACCACAATGAGTTATCACGTCACACCTGTCAGAATAGCTATTAGCAAGAAGACAACAAATAACAAGTGTTGGCAAGGATGTGGAGAAAAGGGAGCCCTTGTGCACTGTTGGTGAGAATGTAAATAGTGCAGCCCCTATAGAAAACAGTATGGAGTTTCTTCCAAAAACTAAAAATAGAACTATTATATGATCCAGCAATTCCACTGCTGAGTATATATATCTGGAAAAAACAAAAAGACTAATTTGAAAAGATACATGCACCCCAATGTTTATAGCAGCACCATTTACAACAGCCAAGGTATGGAGGAAGCAACCCAAGTGCCCATCAACAGATGAACCATAGATTTTTCCTTTTACATTTAAGTCTTAATACTTCTGAAATTATTTTTTGTGTGTTTGATATGGGGTAAAGATTCAATTACAGTTTTGCACATGGATAACCAATAGTCCTAACACTCTTTATTGACTTGTTCATCCTTTTTCACTAATGAGCCCTGTCCATTTATGCAAGGTCCTGTGCCTCTCCATCCTGTTCCATTAGTCTGTTGGTCTGATCTTGTGTCTTAATTTCTCCCACTTTATAATAGGTCTTGATACCTAGGATGGCAAATTCTGCTACCCTTGTTCAGGGTTGTTTTGGCTATCCTTAGCCCTTTGCTCTTTCACATATTTTCCCATCAACTAGTCCCAAGTTCAAGGTAGGCAAATTTTCTTGCTTTCTTCTTGTTGTAAAATGGGCTTTCTTTTTCTTTCTTTCTTTTTTTTTTTTTTACATTGAGGGTGTACCTCTTAGGGGCCCCAGGCCTGTGAGCAGTCTCCTTAAAATTCCCCGCTTGTGGCAGTCCTTCGCTTTTAGGGCTGGTCCACTGTAACCTGTGCAGCCCTCAAAGGTAAATTCACACAGCCCCAAGGTTTTGACAGGAACTCGCAGCAAAAGTCAACGTTGACACCTTTTTTCTAGACTCCTGCTTTCATTTCATATTGTTTTTACTTCAGGTAACAGTGTTCTGAAAATGTACATTTTATATTTTATTCAGATTTGAATATTTTCATTTGGAAATATCATTCAGTATATATAATCTCCCATACTTTCACAAACAGAACTCCCTATCAATAAACTTTTTCAAAAAGAAATAGAACATAATATTTAGAAACATCTTTCTATATTCATTAACTTCTACAACTTCATATTTAATGGTTTAATATTATTTCATTGAATTGATGAAATATACTTTATTCTCACAGTCACTTGTGAGATATTAGTTTAGATATTATGTTTTTAAGTTTTCACTTTCTACAAACAACACTGTGATAAAACTCTTGTAACTAAATCTTCCTGCATATCTATGATAATTTTCTCAAGATAAATTCAAATATTATCATGACTTCTAGGCTTTGGATACATATTCCAACCTGCCCTCCATAATAATTTTATCAATTTACATTACTATCATAAGCTTATGAGGATGCCCCTGAAATAACAGGTTTGTATGTAATTGAAAATATGGAACACTTTTACAGGCTTATTGTTTTTTACTGACCCAATAATCATTATTTTATTTCATTTTATTAAAATAAAAATGTTTTAGTGTCTGCCTAATTTTTATTTATTTATAAATAAATTTCACAAATTTTCACATATTTATCAAGAACATGTTCATTTTGGGCAAAAGACCTTAATAGACTTTTCTCCAAAGAAGACATACAGATGGCCAATAGGCACATGAAAAGATGCTCAACATCACTAATTATCAGAGAAATGCAAATCAAAACTACAGTGTGGTATCACCTCACACCAGTCAGAATGACCATCATTAAAAAGTCCACAAACAGTAAGTGCTGGAGAGGGTGTGGAGAAAAGGGAACCCTCCTATACTGTTGGTGGGAGTGTAAATTGGTACAACTATAGAAAAGAGTATGGAGGTTCCTCAAAAAACAAAAAATAGAGCTATCATGTGGTCCAGCAATCCCACTCTTGGGCATATACCCAGATGAAACTATAATTTGAAAAGATATATGCACCCCTATGTTCATAGCAGCGCTATTTACAATAGCCAAGACAGGGAAACAACCTAAATGTCCACCAACAGATGAATGGATAAAGAAGAAATGGTATATATACACAATGGAATATCGCTCAGCCATAAAAAAGAGTGAAATAATGCCATTTGCAGCAACACGGATAGA